GTGGGCATGCCTACTGCTTAAGACAGGGACTAGATCACTAGCAAGGAGCACAGTCACTATTAAGGTCAAGAGAGCAAAGCCTCCTTGGATAACTTCATCTTCAGTGACAACGGACAGCAAGTTCCTCTTGGCTTTGGTCCTTGGCTTCTGTGAGACTCAGGAGTGTAATAGTCATCCATTTTCCCCCACTCCTAGTTGTTTTTCCCCCAATATTTTTATGTGCATTGGTGTCCTGCCTGCATGTATGTCTGTGTGATGATGTTGAATCCCTTGGAACAGGAATTACAGAATTGTGAGCCGCTATCTAGGTGCTGGGAATTGAACCCAGGTCCTTTGGAAGAGTAGCTAGTGCTGAGCCATCTCTCCATCCCCCAACCTGCTTTTCAAGACAGGATTCTCTGTATAACAGCCCTAGCTGTTCTGGAATTCACTTTGTAGACCAGGCTGGCTCCCGAGTGCTGGGATTAAAGGTGTGCACCAACTAGCAAGCTCCTAGCTTTTTATCCAAAGAAGACAACCATGGTGAGCAACCAAATCACAGTCATACAGATACAGAAGTATCATTCCTAAGTAGGCTGCTGTAGGGATGCAGAGCCTGCAACTGAGGCCCTGCTGCCTAAGGGAGTATAAATGGAGTCTGTGAATGCAAGGCTTTCTTGGAAGCACTGTTTTCCACGGGACACATCACAGGCACACCAAGGCCCACACTGTTTTCCAGTACTCGACCTGCTGGTAAGCTATTAAAAATCCTATCATGTTGCTGTCCAGTAATTCTTGGAAGTGGCGGAGGTGTAGCTCAGTGGGATGTACAAGGCACTGAGTCAGTCATTCAATCCCAAGATGCAGAGAACAAGAATGAGAACTTTAAACAATCCTTGGAAAATTGTGTTTGTGCATTTTGGAGGAGGCAGGAAGGGAGAAATAAAATTAAGCATGGTTCCGAATGACCATCAGTGACATCATACATTTGCTAACTCCATGTCAACAGCAAGGCCAGAGGCTTGAGTCTGTTTCATCAGCAGGGATTACATGGTATGTAATACCAGAGGGAAGGGCTGCTCTGTGGAATTATCTTTAGACTTTAGTTGTTTTTGGCACAAACCCCGGAAGGGGTTCAGGCTGCAAGACTGCTGAAGACAAGAGGATGCCACATTCTGTGTGTGCCTGTAAACTGGAAAGCAGCATCTTGAGTACATTGGCAGTATGGGTTTGGTGTGCAGAAGCTAGGTGGAACCACAGCATTACATTTGTCATGGACAGTATTTTAGCGCCCATGTGACAATGGTCGTAAGCCTGACTGGCACCAGAAGCAGCCTGGGGCAGGATCTCTTGCCCCCAGCATATCAATTTTCTGTATGGAATGAAGTGTTTTCTATTTCCCCTTCCTCTACAACATAACTAGAGGAGGGAACCAGCTCTTCAGGGCCACTCTGCTGCTTCCTGGAAAGGTGGGTGTATCTGCAACAGAGCTGAAGGTCCAATCAGTAAAGACAGTGAGCTAGCTGTGTGAGCAGCCTGGAGCTTGCAGCTGTTTCCTGATACAGATCTGTAGTTTACAGCTAACTCTTTCATCTGTGGCTGTGGGCAGCATATGAAGTCATCTCTGGAATCTCTATGTGAGCACAGTGGGATAAAGCCAAGACCTCAAGCACCTGGTGGATGGGAGCATGTCTTTCATTAGTGTGGGGTGGCGGAAGGCATGAGCCCAAGATAAGTTTCCCAGCCGATTCTGCCTTAGTACCTACAACTTCACAGACGGCAACCTCATGGAAACAGGACTGCCACCCAAACACTGTGTCCATCAAAGGGGGAAATAATTCTTGCCCTCCCTGTGTCTTGAGAATAATGGCTGATGGTAACTGTTTAATAAATGTTTGCTGTTTGTGTACTAGGCACCATCTTAAAAGCTTTGTTTAAGAACCATACAACCCACTTTACAGACAGGAAATAGTCCAGAGCCAACAGATAGGGTTTGGACTCCAAGCTAGGAAGTAATCATGCTATAAAGAACATAATAAAAACAAGCAGAATTTAAGCATGTTAGCTTTCTGTTGCTGTGACAAAATACTTCAGGTAAATCAACTTCCACAAGGGAAAAGGTTTTACTCAGTTTTAGGTTTTAGCCATGGCCGCTTGACCCATTTTTGGGCCAGTGGTAGCCAAGAAGCATTAGACCGCAAAGGCCTAGGATCTGAATGTCTCCTTCAAGGGTATGCTTCCCTCCACCTAACTTCTTTCTACTAGGCCTGCTCTTTAAAAACCCATCACCTCAGCAGCACTACAGACATAGCTCTGCCCTGACCATCAAGGTCCACAGAGGTCCAAGGACTATATGCAATGCCAACAGCAGGGAATTAAATTCTCAATTCCTACAGGGAAGAGACTGGTCCTTGATAGTTAGCTACTCACAGACAGGTTCTCGAGGGGCCTGGAAATCTGATCTTTGTTTCTCTTAAATGCGACCTGGGGCTCATGAAGTGCTACAAGTAAACGGAAAACCAGGTGCCGCACACAGGACTTGTACCCAGATGATAAATAAGGGCAGGTAAAGTGGAAAGCCTTCCAATCAAGGCAACTTGCGATGTGCCACTGGTACTCATAGTCCACAAATTGGTTTGATTACAAATTTATAATATGAAAGCAGAAAAGGTCACGTGGCAAGTTAGAGAAATCAAAGAGAAATGGGTATAAACAGAACATTTCTGTGTCCTTGAAATTCTTTCCTGGCTTAGCTTTGAAATCAAGCAAGTCCCTCTACTAATAATAGTGTCCTTGGTTGTATTGATGCCTGCTCCAAGTACACTCAGAGCACAATATGCTGTTAATTTTTCTTCTAGCATGTATGTAAAGGGCATGTATGTATACATTTTCTCATGTGTATATGCACATGTATGTACAGAAACACACAGGTAACATCAGCAGTCTTCCTTAATCATTCTCTGCCTTATTCTTTGAGGCAGGTTCTCGCCACCGAACCCAGAACTTTCCCATTAGACTAGCCTAACTAACTAGGTTGCTCTGGGGATCCTGTCTCAGCCTTCCTAGACCTGGATTGCTAGCAGGCTGCCACACCCAGCTCACATTTGCCAACAACCCAGCAAGTGTGTGGGTTCTGGAGATCTGAATTCTGCTCCTCCCAGCCAGGTATTCTTTTCAAGGTCCAGTTTATCCCCCAGCACTCTTTAGTAACCCCTACACTAGCATGTATTCAAATATTGCCCCACATAAAACTAAGGTTTTCTGTAATTTCAGACAACAAAATGGCTATGCTAGTCTTGGCATCAGCATTAGTGAAACATTAAATTCCTTCCAGCTCAACAAAACATGTTCAGCCTGCCTATAACATTTAACCATCATCTAAAGGGCCAGCCCATCAAGAGTTTTCCAGTATCTCAAGATTTAATGAGAACAATGTGAGTGTGTCATATGGCAGAGGTGCCCTCAGAAACCCCGTGAGCAGCAGTGAGATGAGGACCGAGCAGCAGCATGGGCCTGCAGTGAGCCTCATCAACTGCCACAACTTCAGCTTCAGCTCCTAGTCCACATTAGTGAGAAGCTATTTCCATTTGTGAGCTGATTCTGTGAGACTCCTTGGCCTTTGCTTTGTGAGCAGTTCGAAAGGAAGTCTGACTGTCTTGGGATTAGGGAGAAGCACAAAAACAGCCCCAAGAGCATCAGTGTATTATAAGCTCTCAACAAACATGTTGACTAGATATGTCATCTCTTTAAGAATATGGTCATAGGCTACTGTTTTTTTCTTAAGGAAAAAAAAGTGTTGAAACTATGCTCACCAAGGAGAAAGTATGATGGTTGGAGGACAGTTGTGCTTGCACACGCGTACACGAGTGTACACACACACCCACACCCACACAGAGTAAATACGCCTATCTACAATGTCCCCAAAAGTCTTAGTGTGGTTTTGATAAGGGACAGGGAGGAAAAGGTTGTGGGCTGGCACCCTTCTCAACACAGAGGCTGCCTGTTTGTCACTGATAGTATGTGCAGCCCACATTAATTATTCAAATACTGTTATGATATGTGGTGCCTTTGGTGGATCCCGTGGCAGGTGAGAGAAACCTACAGACAAAACTTACACGTGCAAAGTTTATTGGGGGAAGGTAGGAGAAGAAGGGAAGAGAGAGAGAGAGAGAGAGAGAGAGAGAGAGAGAGAGAGAGAGAGAGAAAGAGAGACAGAGAGAACATTGCTTCCTCAGAGAAACGGCAGTAAGAGAAGAAGTAGGAGGTGGAACTTGTCTCTAAAAGGGACCTTTGCACCTGTGTACAGAGCCAGGGTACTGTATGACATTTATGCCAGGTCCCCAAGGGGCAGGGACCAGATTTGCCTAGATTATAACAACTACCACAAAAGCCTTGATATAGCCAAAAGAAACCGGGAGGTGGCAGCACATATCTTTAATCCCAGCACTTGGAAGGCAGAGGCAGGTGCATCTCTGGGTTCCAGGCCAGTCTGGTCTACATAGTGAGTTCCAGGACAGACAGCCAAGGCTACACAGAGAGACCCTGTCTTCAAAATCAAAACAAGAAAGTCAAAAGAAACTAATATCAACATAACCACACTGCTTTGAATGTATTCAAACAGAAAAGTTTGGAATGAAAATGCTTATTTAGACAAAGAACTTTACCCATGCTGTTCCAGTGCTGTGAAGAGACACCAGAAAGTGTTTAACTGGGGGCTTGCTTCAGCTTCAGAGGCTTGGTCCATTATCACCATGGCAGGGAGCTGAAGGGCACACATAGTGCTGGAGCAGTAGCTGAGAGCTCTACATTGCCATCCACAGGCCAAGAGGGGAGGGCAGGGAGACACACAGGGTCTGGAATTGGCTTCACCACCAGTAACACACTTCCTTCAGAAAGGCCACACCTCCCAATCCCTTCCAACAGTTCTGCTCCCTGGTGACCAAGCATTCAAACATGAGACCATGGGGGCCATTCTTACTCAAAATGGCACACCAAGTAACCCAAGCCACCTTACACATCCAAAGGTTGAGGAAGGAAGTTTATTAGACCCTCTTTCAGCTTGAACTAGATTATTCTTTGTAAACAAACACATTTTACTCCACAAGCAAGCAAAAGGGACTTGACATTCCCACTCCTTTTTGTGTGGATTGCTCCTAGGTCAGTGTAAAAAGGTTGGGAAAGGACACCAGACAAGATAAAGGGCTCATTATTCAGACTCCGCTCACAGTCTGCACTAAAAAAGGCAAGGATAATCACTAATGTTACAGGTGATCTTTGACACCCACCATGGCACTAGTTTCCCAAGCAAAGCCTTTAGTTTCTGACAGCCACTTACCCCAGTGCCGCCACATGTGGCCATCAATCACCTGTTTTACTGACTACCACCACTGGCTTTCAGAGCAAGAGGTATTCAACATTATTGGAAGGTATGCATCATTAAAAACAACCCCTACTGCCTAATACTCAACAAGCAAACATCACTGCAGATTCCTAAGCATTCATCTTAAGCTGCCGTATGTGCTTTTGACTGTAATTTGACTTCCTTTGAATTTTTTTCTTGAATAAAACCAGAGAAAACCAATACTTATTCCTTACCCAGTCCTGTTTGTTTTATAAGCTTAACTTACAACCTCAAAGGAATTAAAGCTTTTAAGAAAAGATTTAAAATCACGGAAATAAAGTTTAACCAGTCCTCAGGGATTTGAAAAACTCTTTCCTAACTGTTAGCGGACACCTTCCCCAAATGTAAGGTTTCTTTCCAAGAGGTTTCCAAGGGAGCTTTAACGGCACTCATTTCATGAGGACTGCCACAACGTGCAGCATTTAAGGGAAATAAAGGTTAAAGCACTTCGAATACTATTTAGTCAGCTGACATCACTAACCATCTAGATAAAGTGCTTTTTTTTTTTTTTTTTTTTGGCTGACCAATATACTAGAGCTAGAGCTTTTTGCAAAATTAAAAGCACCAAGACTTACTTTCCCTGATTCTGGATTTTCAATTCAGAGCTAACGTCTTTTATAAAAATACCAGTAAGAAATTATTACTTTATCTTAAAAATCAGAAGATTAAAAAAAGGAAAAAGTCACAAACCCTGAAGAACTGAGAAATATATCTAAATGTAAATACCAGTTTCAGCATATAATTACTGGTTTTATAAAGCATCTCTCTCAAGAAAGTGCTCAACAACCCCCTACCCTACCCCAACAGCTACGCTGGTTTGTGATAAAAATCTGAAAACAAAACTACAAAAATTCCACACAGACAGACAAGACACACACAGACACAAAACTACAAAAATAACACACAGACAAGACACACACACACACACACACACACACACACACACACACACACACACACACACACACACACACTTCCACAGAAACGGTCCAACTTCCTGTTGTTTTGTCCTACTTTCCCAATTAGTTGACACTGACCTCTGTACTTAAAATAATCATGACTTCAACTCAAGATAATGTATTTTAACACGGAAACAGTGAATGTACTTACACGAACATCACATTTTACACAGCTTGAAAAACACACACACAAAAGCAGTGAACAGATTATATATTTCACATAAGACCCAGCTCACTCACTTAAGCCTCTCTGACTCAAGAGGATGCTTCAGACTGCAGAGCGGCCTCCACAGATGGGCCTGTGCTGGACTTACAGATACTCTCCTCCACTGTGCTTGCACAAGTTAAGGATAACAAGAGGCACGCCTTGCTTTCTGGTTCCATGAGCGGGGTGGGGTGTCATTATCAGACTGCCAGACAAGGCTATGATGACAAGTCATCACACGAAATGGAAACACACTCACCCCAGGAAGCTGGGTCTACCCTAGGCAGTGTCATTTCCCAAAATGACAAAATGACCATTTTCTTAAAGACCACAATTATAAAGTCACTTTTCACCCATCTTTGCAGACCCGAGTTCTGTTAACTTTCTGATTAGAAATCTATAATTCAGTCGAGTGTTCAGGACTACAGAAGTCGTCTTGAGACTTTCTACGGAAGTATGTACAGATCTTCCTCATGGAGCTGGGAGTAACGGTCACCTGGAAGAAAATGGAGAGTTAGAAACTTCCCAAGTTTAAGTTCCACATTATCTCAGCAAGTGTCTAGGTTATACCTGCCAATCTCTTGAGCAAATCAGCCCCCTCAACTGATAAAACAGATAGCACTTTGGCATTGTTTTTTCAACAAAGGAACATTTTTCTGATAATGAATCATTAGTTGTATATGGCGGCACACTCCCATAATCTCAGCACCTGGGAGGCTAAGGCAGGAACACACAGTGAGAACCTGCAAGTCAATAAAATGTAAAACAAACAAGAAAAAACAAAACAAAACAAAACAAAAAAACCTAGCCGGGCATTGGTGGCGCACGCCTTTAATCCCAGCACTGGGGAGGCAGAGGCAGGCGGATCTCTGTGAGTTCCAGACCAGCTTGGTCTACAAGAGCTAGTTCCAGGATAGACTCCAAAGCCACAGAGAAACCCTGTCTCGAAAAAAACCAAAAAACAAAACAAAACAAAAAAAGATTAAGATTAGCACACTTAAAGCTCTGAGATTTACATTATTAGTGAAAATAATTTTCACCTCACCCCTGGTCATAGGGACCAGGGAAGAACCACAGGGAGAGGGACACTGAGGACAAACTTTTTTGGCTAGGAGCAAAGAACACTTCTACTTTAAAGAAGAGGCAAAGAAACTTTGTTTTCTTTCCCATTTTCTGTAGCAAAATTTTGTTTCAGCTTGCATAGTAAGTAGTCTTTATATTTTCCTTAGTTCCTTTCCTAGAAGCACAGGCCAGGCTGAGGACATTACATGGAACAGGACACTCAGCTCACTAGTACTGGCCCAAGGATACCTAACTTCTTTTTTTAAATATTTTATTTATTATGTATACAACATTCTGCTTCCATGTATATCTGCACACCGAAGAGGGCACCAGATCTCATAATGGATGGCTGTGAGCCACCATGTGGTTGCTGGGAATTGAACTCAGGACCTCTGGAAGAGCAGTCGGTGCTCTTAACCTCTGAGCCATCTCTCCAGCCCCAGGATACCTAACTTCTGCTCCTAATTATGGATGTGTTCCCATCGCCTTCCTCAATTCAGAACAAGAGCTTTGTGGGCCACAGTGGAGCTGAAAGCCACCCCCCATAACTGCACACTGAGAACAGCAGTACTCTATCCCTCTGTTGGTATCCATGGCTCCCTCAATGCTCAGCTACTTTCATCTCCACCATTTTAAGTCACAATCTCATTTACATGTCATGTCAGACAAATGAAATGAGTCTTAAAAAGAGGTAAGTAGGGGGCTGGAGAGATGGCTCAGGTGTTAAGAGCATTGCCTGTTCTTCCAAAGGTCCTGAGTTCAATTCCCAGCAACCATATGGTGGCTCACAACCATCTGTAGTGAAATCTGGTGCCCTCTTCTGGCGTGAAGACATACATGCAGGCAGAACACTGTGTACATAATAAATACATCTTTTTTTTAAAAAAAGAGGAAAGTAACATCACACTGAATGTTAAGAGAGCAGACACAAGTATTCAGAATATTGGTGTATGCAAGACAATCACGAACTTGGGGGAAAGACATAAAAATTAAGGAATCTGTAATTTAATTGCTTTGAAATACCTAAGCTTCATTTTGACCATAGACTTCAACTACAAGCCGAAAATCTACTTATGGATGTTGGCAAGTTTCCCAAGAATATCAACTTTACAAAACAAAACAAACAAACAAACAGTCTACAGGAGAGAGAGAAGGGGGTGCTTTTGAACAGACACCCTGGATGGTGAGGACAGGAAGGCTCAGGTAAACCAGCAGTGACCCTGAGGAATATGAGTAGGTGAAAGGTTTTAATGGAGTGACAGCAGAGCTGTCAAATAATTCAGCACAAAGTTCATCTGAGTCCCCTTCAAATAGGACACACGTCCTCCCACACTCAAGGCTTACCGGGCCTGGTGACGTCTTTCCACTCTGTCTCCTGGAATTGGGTGTCTGGGATGATGGACTTCGTGGAGATAAATTTTCAGCCTTCCGTTTGGCTGCCATGGCCAACAACCAGTTCTTATTCTCTGGGGAGCTATTCTCTTTGCCCACCATCTCAGACCCTTCTCCACAAGGTCGCAAAGGAAGAGGCAAGGTTCCACAGCCTTCTGAAACATAAGGACTGACAGGAGAAGGAGGCTCTGAGATGCCTGTACCAGCGCCTTCAACCTTGCTTGATTTGGCAGGACCTTCGGAGTCCTTGCTAAGGGATTCCTGGTTGCTGGAAAGGCAGCACAGATCCAAGTGAAGACTCTCCACTTGGCCGTCAAGCTCAGTGACACAGTTGCAACTCTTCACACACTTTTGCTTCACACTCTCCAGACAGCTTGAATCTAGACGCCTCTTCACTCTATTTCTAGATTCAGAGCAAGCATCTGCTTGTGATGACTTCTGGCTCACAGGAATGAGGGCTTTTCTTGGAGATGAGATCTTTGTCTCAGAAGCAGGTGGAGTGACGGGTGGCGATGAGGAAGGTGTTCGGGTCACCCAGTTTCTAAGAGACATCTTGAAAGACGAGGGTGGCTTGGGAGACACAGAAGTGGAGCCTCTTCTGCCGACAGGAGAGCGGGTCTTGGCAGGAGTGGATTTGACTGAGAACGTGGGGGTATTCGAAGGAAGAGGGAGGTCTCCAGCACAGCTTGGAGTACAAGCTGCTGATGATGGAGAGGAAATGGACGGACTGCTCTTGGCTCGGGGGGCTTTGGCAGGAGTAGTCTGGCTACTTGCTACCATTACTGAAAATAAAGAGGAGCACGAAAATCAGAAAGAAAATGTGCAAAGTTCTTGAGTGCTCACCAAGGGAAATCACAGCTAACATCATCCAAGGATTGATTTGCCAGTGAGCAGACACCCCAAATCATCCCATTGCTTCCATACCCTCCTACCCTTTCTCCACCCCCGCTCCCTAGACACCCTGAAGTAAACATATACTTGCAAAACCTAGGAAAATAAAATCTTTAAAGCACCAGTAGACTACTCCAAACAGTTTGCATGTGTGCATGTGACACACAGCACACCTCTAACTTGCTATACAAAATGAGATCAAAGGTCACATGGTGTTTCATAATCTTTCACATCTGTACTCTCTATTGTATGAATTTGAGGATACAGGTGATATTCTGGCACATGTATACACTATAGAATAATTAAACAGATCTGACATAATCCATTACCTTATAATGACGAGCATTTAAAAATCTATACTAACCTCAGTGACAATGCTGCTGTCTATATATCCAGAACCTTTTCCATGCTCATGTATGCACACACACAAATTTTATATCCTTCAAATAACATCTCCCAACTGGCCCTTCTCACAAGCTCCTAATAATCACCATTCTACTGTATGCGTTTCCTCAAACAGTATCTAACATTGGATTAAAGGTATGCACCACTACACTCAGCTCTCTAAACTTTCTGTCTATGGGTTTTTTCTTCATGTATGTCTGTGAGCCCCATGCATCCAACCATGTGGAGGCTAGAAGAGAGCATCAGGTCCCTTGGAACTGAAGGTGTAGGTGGTTGTGAGCCACCATGGACATTGGGATTTGAACTCAAATGCTTTTAACCACTGGGTAATCTCTCCAACCCTCTGTTATTGGACAAATGGTTCAGTGGTTAAAAGCACTGGTTGCTCTTCCCAGTATCCATGTTGCACCCATGTCTGGCAGCTTATGACAGACAGCATGTGACTCCTACCCCAGGAATCTGACACTTTCTTCTGGCCTGCACAGGCAATGGCACACATGTGGCATACACTCACACAGCCACATAGTTAAAAATAAATCTTAAAGACAGGGTCTCTTGCCTCCAGAATGGCTTTGTGTTCTTGATTTTCCTGCCTAACTCCAGTTTCTTTAGATTCAGTGTTTTTGAATTCTACATAGAAGAAATATCAGACAGTATACTTCCTTCTTGTGCTTGATTTCTCCCTCTCTCTTTTTCAAGACAGGGTTTCCCTGGGTATCAACTCTGGCTGTCCTGGAACTCGCTCTGTAGACCAGGCTGGCCTTGAACTCACAGAGATCCGCCTGCCTCTGCCTCTGGATTGCTGGGATTAAAGATGTGCCACCACCACCTGGCTGTGCTCGGCTCTCTTAATGGCCTAACTTTATCCTTTATAAAGGCTGAACAGTCCAAGTATGATAGAATATTCCTGGACTCCCAGCATCTACAGGCTGAGGTAGAAGGATTATGAATTAATGACCTGCCACACAGTAAACCATTGATTCAATCTAAATTTTGTCACTAAGCGGCATTCTGCTGCTTATACACAAGTCTCTCTATTCCTCTAGTGGCCACACTTAACGCCAATTCTGTCCTTGGATATTACACTTGATCCGCAGTGGCTATGTGAATGCAGACGCCTCTTCCACACACTGACCATCTCCTCTGCTATACACACAAAAGTGGGGGACGGGAGGGGAGGGGAGAGGACGACATGTTTTGGGACAGGGTCTTACCATGTTCCCAGATTGACCTCAAACTAGACACTTTCTCAGGCTTCTGTGATGACAGGTGTCTAACACCAAGTCTTTTTGATACTGACCATTCTAAGAGGTGAAATGACTGTCATTGTGGTTTGAATTTATGTCTTCTTGTTTATTGGTGGTATTTGACATTTCTCTACATACATTTTGAAATGCCTTTTGACAAACTTTTACTGACAGCTTTTGCTCATTTAAGATTTTCTAACCTTCTAAAAGAATTAACATGAGATCCTGTCTCAAAAGGAAAAGAGAAGAAAAAGAAGAAATATAACCTACCTTTTATACTTTATCACCACCACATTAACAGACCTCACTAAGGTTCCTGGCAGTACACTAAGGAACTGATGTAATACAGCATTTAACACGCATGGCAGTGCACTGCAACAGGAATGCAGGCTATTAATGGTGTTTCAGACCTAAGTGACAATGCCTTTCCTGTAAACACTTGACTAACTTGAAGGTAAAGAAGCCCTTACTGGGTTCTCAAACAGTAACACACAGACCTAAGACGTGGCCCAGTCATTCAGTATGTGACCTGGGTTAACATCCATCCAAAGCACCCTTTCACACCTGTGAAGGGAAAAATTTTCCCTACAACAAGTGATCCTATAGCAATTATTAGGCCTCAGTGGCTTTCCAGATTAATTTAAAAATAGCTACTAATTTCTACAAGTCAAAGAACACCAAAGAACACTCAGAATCCAATGACTGCTTTTGGAAAAGAAAGCAATCAAGCTTGTGGACAGGTCTCCTCTGTATCCTTATTCCATACAAACCAAGTATTTCCTGAAAATTCTTAAAAATTTTATGCTTCTGCCCTCTCAAATTCTAACAGCCAATACTTTATTTTTCCAGTTGTCTTTTTGAGCTTCCCAAATTAAATAACAAGAAAGAACAATTGACAGATTCTGGGTCAAACAGTCTTAAATTACTGAACTGCATCTCTACATAGTGAGTTTGACAGACTAATAAAAAATGCCATCTGAGCTGGAGAGACACTCAGGGTTAGGAGCACTGACTGCTTCTGTAGACCACCTGGGGTCAGTTCTGAGCATCCACAAAACACCTCACAACTGCCTGTAACTCCCAGAGCACCCAAGCCCCCTCTTCTGGCCTCTTCAGGCACTGCATGAAAGTAGTACACAACTCTTTTCAGGACTCAGGGGCACTGCACTCTGTAACCATGTAACAACACTGCCAATACCTTTAAAGACCTACCATTTTCTATTTCACTTAGGATCACACATGGTGGATTGAGCTATGGCTCAAAGCTTTTCCTTTTCTCCCAGAGATTTGTGTAAATGGGACAAGGTAGACAAGAACTATCATGCGTGGAGCTATATTCCTGTCCTTACAACTCCTCACTCTGGCTTTTTAAAAAAATTTATTATGTATACTGTGCTCTGCCTGCATGTATGTCTACAGCCCAGAAGAGAACACCAGACCTCATTACAGATGGTTGTGATCCACCATGTGGTTCCTGGGAATTGAACTCAGGGTCTTTGGAAGAGCATAGCCAGCCCTCACTCTGGCTTCTTCAAGATAGTTCTTTTAAAGACTTATAGAACACACTACTCTTCAACCTGTAGCTTCCTTCTGTTCAAAGGTTAGCCATTTGGCCACTACCGTTTTGTCTTAGGCAGCATTACTTTAGGGTCCTGTAACAGGGAGGACGGCTCACAGCTTTTCTCAACAGGCTGTACACTATTACACCCTCCTCAGGGCATGTGTATTTTTGGCCCCTTCCTTGCTAGGCAAAAATCGCCATATATCAAGGACCGGGTAACCCCATATTCATACTCTTTTTTTCCCCCCAACACAGCTACCCCGCCTGTCACAGAAGACATGGGTTCTCAGAGCCCTTTACTAGCGTAGTCAGAAGCAATGTTTACAGTAGTTACTATATAGTTTTTGCATCTGTTTCCTAAGCTAGCTAGTGAGCCCAGAGGAGGGGAATGAGGATTTAGTGTTTACAGTAAAGAATTATTCAACAATGTGAAACCTCAAATTTCACAGTTGCTAACAAGGAGGTGATGATAGAAGCATTAGGAAACTGACAATAATTATCCTGCTGTCTAACCAGACGACAACAAACACTTGAGCTTGAACAAGAGAGGTTCCTTATCTTTGCAATTAGGATAATCATGCTGTCACTCAGTGCCTGGATCATAGCGGCTCAATCTTGGCTGCATAACAAACTTACCTAGAGCTTCATGAAAATACAAGCACCTGACCTCCACACAAGACTCACAAAATTCATGACTGGCAATGTATACATTTTCCAAAAGCTCCACAGGTATTTCTGAGGCCCTCACCAGGGCTGTGAGGTCTGCACTGAAGCTTGGTGACATGACAGCACAGCAGAGCAGCCTGTCTCCACACTGCACTGTGGCTCTGACTACAACCTCACACTGTGGAAACTTAGCAACTCCACCCAATTTAATACCATCTTCTCCTGATACCTGCTATGTTACATCAAAATCACACTCTAGCTTCCTTCCCAAATCTGCAGCAATTGCTATCTAGGTTAAGACAACTCCATTCTGTAATCTCAAGTAAAAACCCTGAAATCATCCTTTAAAATTCCCTTAATATTGTACATGTAATCCTTTGGCATATTATTCTGTGGACTCTTTCTTTCTTCTTCTTTTTTTTTTTTTTTTTTTTTTTTTTTTTTTTTGGCTGTCCTGGAACTCACTCTTGTAGACCAGGCTGGTCTCGAACTCACAGAGATCCGCCTGCCTCTGCCTCCCGAGTACTGGTGGACTCTTTCTTATACCCAGAATTTAAATAGTTTTGAAATTTTGTTAAAAATATTCTTTTGTTGTTCTCTTGACAAGGTCAGGCTAACCTCAAACGCACACTCTTCCCGAGTGTTGGGATTACAGGCATGTGCCACAGCACAGTTCATGATGACTTCTGTCACGCATGAACTTCATTTTCTACTTCCCCGCTGTGCCTCACGGTTTCTGCACCAGCCTTCTGGAGGCAGAGAAAACAAGCCAGGTGTCCTCCTGCTGCTGTGCCTTAGTCTCACCATGCTGTCTGCCTGGAGCAGTCTTCCACACACCCACACGACTCCACAATGACGCCCCTCCCCAAGTCAGTAAGACCTCTCTATCACAGAGACGCTTGACAGCACCAATGACTCCCCTCCCTAAGTCAGTGAGACCTCTCTATCACAGAGACGCTTGACAGCACATTTCCATTCTTCTCTCCTGTTAGTTGATGGAATTTACTTCTTTACTTTCTGCCACTCACGAGTAACATGTTTATATCTGAGACCTGAGTCTTCTGTCCATTGCTAAACAAAACTAGGAGTACACAACACATGGCAGTCCATGAACATTTGCTATGTCCATTACTCTTTTTTGAGCCCCTTAATAGATGACAAAGAAGTGGTCAGTTACAAAGGACAGTTCTCCTTTAAGAAATGCCAAGATGGTGCTTCTCTTTAAAAATACTACAAAACAAGGGCAAATCTAGCCTCCCATAGGACTCAAGCCACCAAGGAAACCATGGAAACACATGCTGTCCTTACCTAGGCCAGCTTTCGCCTCTTTTTTCTTCTGAGAGGTCCAACCCACTATGGAATGTTTATCATTTCCTGGCTTCTCCTCTAGACCTCTATTCAAGCGCCAGATTTTTAGTGTGTTATCATCAGAGCAGGTAGCAATCTAAGAACCAGGGAAAGAATGGTAAATTTCAAAGATTTACAACAAAATCACAAGTAGTTGTGTCCTAAGGACTCATGAACCTCGACTTACTTTGACTACTATAACACAACACAGATGATATCTGAAAGATCATCTACCTCCATCTTTTGTGTTAGAGAATCATTTTAGCTTTACAATGACTCAAATGTCAGTTTCTTTTTTAAATTATATTTTCTACTAAGGAACTTATTACCAGTAATTCATTTTTAAAAAGATTTAACTTTACTTACTTCATGTGTTTTGATTACACACATGTGTGTGCCAGCAGAGAACAGAGAAGAGCATCATATCATATGGAAATGAAGATGGTTGTGTGTGCCTGAAACTGAGTCTGGGTCCTCTGCAACAGCAGCAAAGGGCTCTCTCCAGAACACTTACAATTCCCACCTAACCTATAGCTTTACAATTACAGGCTCATTTCCTTTTGGTCTATGAAGCTAGGCAACTTACGTCTTTTATATAACTATATGTAATTAAGATTCCTTTTTATTCTCTTTTTGTGAAATGATCAATTAGTACTTCAATTTCTTCTAAATTCTGCATGCTTTATCTTATTGCTAAAACAATGAACACATTTCCCAGACCAGACTTAGCTTGTAACTCCAGCAGTACAATGAACCCATTCCTGTGAAATGCTTTTTCAGATAGGTAAAGGAGCAATCCAGGAAAACAAAAAGTTCACTAGGCTGAAAGAAGTTAAAAATAACCTTTGCCCCTTTAAAAATATCCAACCATTCCTGATCTTGGTCCCAAGCCTTTTATGGCAGAGAAAGCCCAGCCTGAAGAGCTAGAGGCCAATGGCCACTGATGCCAGAGCTGTTCCCCAGCATTTGTTTATATAATTTCTCTATTTCAGTCACTAAACAGAAAGGAAAAAAGAACACATGTTCTTTTAAGTCGTGGCCCCCAGGAGACTGGCAACATTTTCCTTCCCTTACTGGGAGGCCAAAAGAAGACACACATATTTCACTTCTCAACGAAAAATGTTGGAACCAAACAAGTGCTATAGTGACAATAATTGTATTTATAGGCATGTATCATACATATGATCCTTCATGCCCCTAACCTCCACATGGGGTTTCTCTATGTAACAGTCGATGTCTTGGAATTCATGTAGACCAGGCTGGCCTTGAACTCACACGGATCCACCTGCCTCTGCCTCTGCCTCTGGAGTGCTGAGATTAAAGGCGTGTGCCCCCACCACCACCTGGCTTCCTCTAATTCTCTATCTCCCTTGAAGGCTGGCACCATGGTGTGCATCTGTAACCCTCTGTAACCCTAGCACGGGGAGACTAGGGCAGGGCAGGAAGACAGATTGTGGCAAATAGTCAGATGTTACTGTTAATGTACATCGGTAATATGTAAAAAGCACAAAAACTAGCTTCCAACTTACTTTTTCATTTTTCTCTATTGAATTTCCATTTTGTTAGATAATTTCCTTGACTCTTCACACTTTCATTTAGTGCTCTGAGCTTCGGAGGGTTTTATGTGAGTGGGGTAACATGGGTACACAGAAGCCAGAGGAAGACTTGGGTCTCTTCTATAAGTCTCCTCCTGATTTCCTGAGCCAGGGACTCCAACCAGACCAGAAGCTCACACCCACTGCAGCTGGGCAGTCTGGCTGGTCATCAGGCTCCTGGCGTGCCCCTCTCTAACTTCAGAGACACGGTTATAGATATGTGTAGCTACCCTAGCTTAAATTGGTGCTCGACATTTGAATTTAGGTCCTCATGATTGTATAGCAAGTACTCTTACCCACAGAGCCTTCTCCCCAGACACCTGTTATGTTTTCATCCTAGATTTAGTTCTTGCATGTGTGTGCGGGCACACCTGAGCCTGTGAGAGCAGGCACACATGAAGGACGGGTGTACTGGTTCCCCTGGAGCTGGAGTTATGTATGGGCAGCCATGAGCCACCTCAAGTTGATGTGGGTGCTAGCAACCAAACACACATCCTCTTTAAGCTAGCCACCTCTCTAGACCTTCACTTCAGATTTTAAGTTGAATCTTCAGTTCAAAATTTCATTCTAGTTAGTGAACTATAAATCCAGCTTTACTCCTTTGTATATAATAATTGGGGGGAAGGGATGTGTGTGTGTGTGTGTGTGTGTGTGTGTGTGTGTGTGTGTGTGTGTGTGTGTGTGTGTAATACACATCCTGGATTCTTCTAAATGTCTAAATATAAAACTCTGTTATTTCCAAATAAACCTTGGGAAAATGTACAAATCTAGAATCCACTTTTTAAAACCAGTTATGGAGACCGTCCACAAACCTTGGTGAAGTCCGATGGACACCAGCACACAGATGTGACCTCTTGAGAATGACCCAGGAGCACAGTAGGAGGGTGCCAGGGCATAGAAACCTAGCCAAACCAGAGAGAAGAAATAGCACAACAGTGTTAGTCCCCACAGAGGTCTGGAGTCTCCTTACCAATGTCTCAGGTCTTTAGGGTTGTCAACAAAGGTAGAGCTGTCTAATTCAACAGTCACAGTCAAGACTATGAGCCCGAACACAAGACACAGCTCCTACTCCAACTGAAGTGCCATGCTGGCACTGTCCCTCAGTCACTGAGCTTTCTGGGCTCTCTTCTTCCAGTACTGTTTTTACACTATGGACACGTCCAGATCTTCTATAATCAGCCACTTCAAGAATATTAAATTAACTGAACCCTGAAGGTAGCTGAAAAGGGCCACCAGGTCTTTTAGAATAAGGACAGCGCCCCACCCCCACCCCCAGCAAAACACACTGACTACGACTAAAATCCAAAGTATCATCCTTTCATTTTGAATTTGATAACCTTCAATGTGAATACAGACATAGCTATAATTTATACTTTTTCATTCAAACTTTTCGGTTACTTTGAAGGACAACTTAAAATTTCAAGTAATCTCACCACATTTTAATAGATCTTTAATGTACTGAGGTCAGACTGTGAAACCCTGTGCACATCACTAGGAATTCTATTTTTCCATCATTAGATGTCTCCAGTGATAGGCACTTGATAGCACTGTACAGACAGTTCATTACAGAGCTATCAACACCTCTACAGCACACAGGAACGCCAGTGCAATAAGGAGTGCAAGCTCACACTGCTATTCTTAGTACATGTATTTGAAGAGCAAGGAGCTTGGAGAACACATTCCCTATTTTCTCAAGACTCTGAATCATGGATCATTTGTATGAAGTGAAAGCAACTTTAGAAAGAATATTTCTGACACTGACTAAGCCAGCTGAACAGATTCCCCAAATTACAGCTGAGACTCAACACTGACTCATGGGGTTATCTAGCTCGATCATTGCTACTCTTATCTCTGCTACCTGGCAAGTGTGCAATGATTAAAATGACAAAAACAAAGGGCAGAGTTTAGTTTGCCCTGAAAGTTTGATGTATTAACAGGTAAGGCAGCCTCCAATCTACATACATGATATTGCCTAGTTCTACAATGCCACAGACTGCAAGTCATTCTTTCAAAGACAACTACACTTTAGAAAGGGCTTTAAAAGATAGTTTCTTACTGTGCCACATTCCTGTTTGTGATGACCCTAGTCCATTAAGTTTCTCTTTACTCAAGACTCAAACAGGGGGCTGGAGAGATGGCTCAGAGGTTAAGAGCACCGACTGCTCTTCCAGAGGTCCTGAGTTCAATTCCCAGCAACCACATGGTGGCTCACAACCATCTGTTATGAGATCTGGTGCCCTCTTCTGGTGTGCAGATATACATGGAAGCAGAATGTTGTATACATAATAAAATCTTAATAATAAAAAAAAAGACTCAAACAGATTAAAGGGAGAGGAAATCCTCACATCCCTGTGAACATCTCTGGTAAACATTACTTCTTCCTGCCATCCTCGACCCCATCCATTCTCAGTTTCCATATCACAGTATCTAGGACAACCTAACTGAATATAGAAAATATTAAAGTCTTAGGAAAAACCAAGTATCTGCTAACAGAAACACACCCAGTTCTGCACTTTTCTATAGGGCTGCAAAGAAAAAGACCCCTGTAAAACTTTTAGATGGTAAAGAAGCAATATTAAGCCATACAGTCAGCATTTATTCACTGAATTCATAAATCAGGCACTTTACATAAAGATACCTCAAAAGAAAAAAAAAAAAAAAAAAAAAAAAAAAAAAAAAAAAAAAGACATGCAATTAAGCATCATATGATCTACCAACTCTATTCTCCGGTATATACCTCCTCAGAGAGTAGAAAATATGCTCAAGCAAAAACACACAAATTGGTGACAGCAGACTTTTAATAATAGAGTAAAAAATTCTGAACATCTAAAATGACCATCAACTGATAAGCAGATAAAATATGGTTTGCCTATAAAATAGAACATTCTTAAGCATTTGGAATGATGAAGTACTGTGTAACAAGCCGAAACCTGGATAATATACTAAGGTCAGACACAAAATGTCATATATTATGTGATACTATTTACATGAAATGTCTCAGAGAGGAAGAATATACAATGTGGCAATTGTTAGGGGAATGCAATGAACAGACTGTTTCAGGATAATGAGGGTTCCCCTCCTGGTGTGACATTCAAGAATTAGATAGTGGAAAAGATGGCACAACAGTGATCATACTGAATTGTATACTTTAAACTATTTGGTGATGTTGAGGAATCAAGTGCAGGGTGTCCCTCATGCTAAGCAAGCCCTCTAACCACGGCACCACACTCTTAACTCTTAAATACAGCTTTCTATTTTCTTGTAAACACAGGCTTGCCCTGCCCAGGCTCACCTCAAACCCGAAATCCTCTTGTGTCTAATTCCTAGGTGCTGTAATTACAGGTACGAACAACTATACCCGACCCCTAGATTCTATTTTAATAAAAAGGAGAAGGGACAGAGCCAACTTTTGGTGACAAGAGCTTTAACAGCTCAGGACTATCTTAGGTAGACTACTTACTTTTTGACTACTTTAAATAAGACAAATTTTTTCCTCATAAAACCCAGATGGTTTTGAATTCATTTTCATTCCATTTCAATTTATTATAAAAAATTACCATAATTACTTAATTCTTAAAAAGCTTTCATTGAGTAGGAAGGAAACTTTTTAAAATTAAAAAAAAAAAAAACCTAAACAGAAAACTGTCCTCTTTCACATATTCTACTTTTTGTAGAATGTTTAAAACACGGGAATCCAAAAGTTAAAATTATGAGGCACCTGGTGAATGAAGTAAACGGCTCTAGCCTTTAGACCTCACAAAGCACTTTGAGTACTTCAGCACACAGAACCCACCAGCACTTTTCTCACAAGATCTCCCACTCTGCCCAATTGGAAACCAGATCTAATCTTTATTTTTGCCATGAGATCATTAACACTTCCTAAAGTGTCAGGCTAGGGGTTCCGCCAGTCAGCGGCAGAATGGTCGTGCCAAATCAGTTTATTTATAGACACTTCAATACTATTCAGTGGCTGTATCAGAAACTGACAGGGGAAAGGGGAGGGGGGAAGTACGGGTGGACACGGGGTAGGAAATTAAAAAGCACAATGTTCAATGTTTCTATTTTTTAGAATTTTGGGTCTTCATGCCATGAGGATCCTACAAAAGGCCATTCTCTTTTGCCAGAACATAAAAAACTTTTTTGTTAGTAAAGAACAGATTCACTATGAGAGCCTAATCTAACCCGTTAGAGATGAAGCAGGTTAAGAAGACACCTCAGCTGTCTGGACACTCAGCTTACATGAAATCCCATTTTAAACTCCTCTTTTAATAATGGAAAAAGAGAAATTATGCCATCTCACTGGGCAAATTCAATTTTAGGAGCAGTAAGCTGGCCAAGATCTCAAATATCAGGGCCTGCACACCGAGCTATGTGCGGAGGGGCAGGAGAACATCCTGTCTAAACCACGTCATTCGGTGGTGACATGGAACCAAGCCTGGGAATTCCATTAGGTCACCCATAGATGTGGTGGCCACAGATGAAATCTCTAAGAATGGGCTAGAAACACCAAGTACCTAGTGGGTAACCCCTCAATTCTCATTTACCAAATATAAAATTTTAAAAGGATCCTATGCTACAGCAACTTTAAGAATTGACAAGAAGATTCATATGTATATATTTAGTTACATATATAGTCATGTATATATACTTTATGAAACTAGCCATTCTATTATGTTATCTGGTATGCGTAAAATTTCAGTTGGTGTTTTCTTTCAAGAGAGAAACCACAAATAACAAGATTTGTGGAATGAGTAAAATCCTGTAACTAAGTTGGGAATTAAAGTAGAGAAATAAAAGTCGTAAGACAGTAAGGAAAGAAGACACAGAAAACACAAAGAACAAAACTTTGAAATCCAAAATTTTAACTAGCATTTGTAACTAGCAATACACGTAGAAACAGTTTAAACACTCCAAGGATAAAAAAAGTAGGTAAAGATAGCAGTGTGTGCTTGTACTAAGCACACCTCATACTGGACAAAAGCCTTCTATCTGTGGGGAGTTGACACCTTACCTTCCAAATGTAGGCAGCTTCATCACTTGAACCACTGATTAAAAACTGGTCATCTGGACTAAGACTTGATTTCACATAAAAGGTAGAGTTCTGGTGTCCATTGAAGACAGCCACTGCCAGAGAAGAAAACCAAATTATTTGGCTCTTATCATTTCCAATATCCCAACAAATGCAAATGATACTCACACACATGAATCACAAGCATTATCTCCACTTCAACTTGCTATCAAATAATAGGGAGCTAGGTGCTAAAAACAGAACAAATCACAATCTAAAAATGAGGCTGTGTTAGACCCAATCTATATAGTCAATTCAACACAGACTATTTGGTATGGGACTGGACAAGTGTCACATGACAATATCATGAGAAAGAATGCTGAATGTATCCTACAGTAAATGCAGACTGTGCCCATATCCTTATCCTGTAGGAGGATTTTCTCCATTGATAAACATACTGATCTTATTTCTCCACTGACTGTGAACTTGAGGGTACATCTCCCTTCTTTCTAGACCTTAGTACTTTAAACAGAATAAAACTCCAAGCATTTGCTGTCTGAAAAGATAAGAATCAGTGAAGAGTCATTTGAATTCTGGCTGAGATTCAGAGCTTTTTTTCTCCTTTTTTAAAAATCCAACTCTTAACTGGCTGAATGATAGATGGACCTAGAGGGGCACAATGCATGTTCATGTGTAAGCCACTCAGTTTGGGTTAGGTTCCTCACTATTCATGGAGAAAGAGCAAGTAATCCTATCTTGTACAACGTGCTCATGAGATTGCCGGCATCAGAACACTACAGAAAATTTAAAGGAGAAAGCTCAGGCAGAGAATCTAAAGACAAGACTGGGGGTGTGTGTGGGGGGAATATAACATTTGAATGCTTCACAGAGGGAAGGAGGTGGCAGTAGGTTTTGGTTAAATGCTCACAGAAATCTAGTCTATTTTCTAAATAGACTGGAAAAAAACACTTTTAAAGAAAAACAAAAACAAAATAAGGTTTTGCAGAGACGGCTCAGAGTTAAGAGCACTGGCTACTCTTCCAGAGGACTAGAGTTCACCCACATCTAGACTCATAATTGTCTAGAACTCTGTAGCATACATGCAAGACACAACACCCATATACACTTAAATAAAATACTTAATTTATTCTAAAATTCTCTGTATCAGAGATTTTTACTATAAATAAAAGTAAAGTTCAGCACAAATCAATTTAGATATATTATAAACTCACTAGGACACTCAGTGGTGGTGGCTCACAGCTTTAATCACAGCACTCGGGAGGCAGAGGCAGGCAATCTCTGAGTTTGAGGCCAGCCTGGTCTACCAAGAGCCAGGACAGACTCCAAAGCTACACAGAGAAACCCCGTGAAAAACAAAAACAAAAAACCCTGTATGATAAAGACCTACATAATAAAGAGGCTCCTTCATTATGAATACTGCTCCACAACAGGAATTATCCAAATTTTCATCTTCTGTGCTGAACTATGATTGGAAAATTATAAACTGAATTTCCTACTAATGCTGTTTTTATTGCCCTCTGCTGGTCTAGGAAAAGCTGGTATGAAGCACATTGCAAATGTTTCAAATATGGCAAAAATTCTCCTAAAATCCTCCAGCAGCTTTAGTTACAATGACTTCACTTTGGTTTGTTGTTGTTTTGAGGTGGAGACAGGATCTCATTGTGTGGCCGTGAAGTCCTGCCCCCAATGCCCGAGTGTCCCACAGTCTGGGGTTACAAGCATGCGGTACTACACCTGGCTTCAGCTTAGCTCTTCTGTGCCGAACTGGGCACGGGACAGAACTATTACTTAGTCTACCACAATATTATGAATTAAAATATTCTGGTCCTTCCCAAAGTCTTAAGAAGGCAAGTAATTACCAGATGCTTTTTATATGCAGATTTAATTCTCTCTCTCACTTCATTTTTTTTTTTTTAAGACAGGGTCCCTTTATTATGTAGCTCTAGCTGTCCGCAAACTCAAAGGGCAGAAAAAGGTCACTAAATTATTAGCGAGTGTTTAATGGTAGAATGGCAAACAAAAGTCAAGACCCTTTCAGTGCTATACTATAGGAAAATATACATAAAACAGTATACACCTGACAACGAACCAGATTAGATCTCATCTTGTGTGTGTGTGTCCTGTGTACTGTAGACACTGGAGGCCAGGTCAATGATATATTTGTCTTCCTCATTAACTCCACCCTCACCTCTAGACAAGTCTCTCACTCTCACTGAACCTGGAGCTTAGCAATCCCATGAGACTACTTGGCCAACAGGCTCCAGAATTCTCCCACCTCTGCCTCCCCAGCAGAGACTATATGAGTGTTCTACCTTGCCCAGCTGTCACGTGGGTGCTAGTGATCCAAACCCAGGTCTCCTGTCTGAGTGGCAAGTATTTTACCAACTGAACTATCTTTCCAAGCTATAGCGTACTTTTTCTTTTCTTTTTTTTTACTGTATGGTACTGGGAGTTGAACCTTATGCACTTGAGCTAGATTCCCTCGACGATTTTAAAGGTCATACCAATTATAGCACCACTCAGATCGAATAACCCTGGAAGATGGCTAGGGGAAATATTTGGAAATTTCCCTAGAAGCATAACCAAATGCCCCAAGTTCCACAGTATTTCAGTATTCTTGTTCATTAGCCCATTTGGGAACCAAGCATCTCTGGGGGATGTGGTGTGGAATTCAAAGATTTTTAACCAAACTAAACATTGAGGAAGAACCATGGCACTAACATAACACATATGTTGATTGTCTAAGTAAATGATTATTTTAAAAAATGCAATCTGTAACCCCTTACCATGTGCTTTAGAAACATCAGTTTCTTATAAAAATATTAACTAGTCTCAGAGTCTATTCTTATATTCCTTTAAAATATTTATTTATTTCTATTTTAATATGTATGGGTGTTTGGCCTGCATGTTTGTATACTTTATGCACACCCGGTTTCCTACACAGAAGCCAGAAGAGGGTATCTCTGATCCCTTGGAACTGGAGTGAAGACAGATGTGAGCTGCCATGTGTGTACTGGGAAATGAACCTGAGTCCTCTGTAAAAGTCAGTGCTCTTAACTGCCAAATCATCATTTCACACCCCCACCTCACCATATCTAGCCCCCTAATTTTATATTCTTGAGGGAGGGGGAAAATGTACATTAGGGAAGAAACACATCAGGAGATGAATGGTATTCACCCAACATTGAGAAGGCAAAAACTATCAGGGAAGTCTGTAAAACTCAATCCACTAATTTTAACAGGACAAAAAGTTGAGAAGTTTTCTCTATTCTGCAAGTTTACTAAACAGAAAATCAAGATAACCATAGGGGCTGGAGAGATGGCCAGTGGTTTACAGCATTGGTTCTTACAGATGACCGATATTTGACCACCGACACCCATTTGGTGGCTCACAAATAACTCCAGTTCTATGGGATCTGATTACCACCCCTTTCTAAAGTCCAGACTTGGCATGTAAGCAAAAAAAAAAAAAACTCATACATATAAAATAAGTAAAACTTAAAGAGATTAATGATAACCCCAAACACAAGCCAAAGAGCATGGCTTCAGGAGACTGACTATTCATCACACAGAGTAGGAGTCTGTTCACTTGTGAAATAGTCACAGCAACATACACTAAGTAAAACACCACAGAAACTAATTAAAGATGGCAGTCTTCCCTCATGTGGCTAATGTTTATTTTATGGAAACAAGGCAAAACACAAAAAAATGAAAACCACCACTGAATTATCAAAATGGCAAAAAAGCAATTATTAGTTTCCCGCTAAGAGAATTTGAATGACTAGTATCTTACCTGGAGAAGTCTTTAAGCCAGTCATATTGAACATATAAATGTTGTCATCTGTGCAGTTGGCAAATAAAGTAGAGCCAGTAGAATCTAAAACCAAACTTGAATACCCTGGAAAAAGTTAATGAATATCAATGATGTTGAACCGTGGGGACAAAACGGTTTATGCCATAAGATAATTATTTCTAAAATATATAAAAATCAAAACAATATTAAGATTTTATCTTTACAACCGTATACTTTGTTTTTGGAGTCTTTACTGAAAATTAGGGTGGCATTAAAACAATTTTTTTTTTTTTTGGTTGAAATTCACACTTTAACCCTCCAATCCTTACCTAGTTTTCGAGTGCTGGTTCCTGGGTATAGGAAAGACTTGGATGCTATGGGTTCTTGTCGATAAGCAGTATAATTCTTGCGTAAATCCCACACTTTGATTATCCTAAAAACCAAGACAAGTATTTTATAGATTGGCTAAACCAGTGGTTCCCAACCTTCCTAATGCTGTGACAGTTCCTCAAGTTGCAGTGATCCCCCATCATAAAATGATTTTCGTTGTTACTTATTAGCTGTAATGTTGCTAATGGTATGAATCATAATCTAATATCTGATATGCAGATAGTCTTAGATGATCCCCGTGAGTGAAAGGGTCATGTGACCCCCAGAGGGCTCACAACCCGATGGTTGAAAACCAGTATTCTAGACCTATTCCAACAATTTTATTTACAGAGTGTGAAATGACTTAATCTGTTCTTGTCTGTCACACTGCCCAGTTACACTGAGGACATCTCACTGGGAATTCAACACTATTGTTCCCAATGTCAAGATCACAGTTCATACAAAACGGAAACAGATGTGATCTGACCCAGTGATGAGTCACTGGCACTTACTTCAGGGTAGCGGGAAAGGAAGATGGAGGTCAGATGCTGATAGTTGCTGTTCCATTGTTCTTCCAGGGAAAAAAAAAGACTTCCTAAGTAACACTCTGCAAATATCCCCTGAAATGCAGGGCACACACCCCGATGCTTTATTTCTATACATAACTCCTTAACTAAACACTCTTTCCTGTGAAAGTAGAAAATGTTTTTCATTTCACCTATTCGGATAATTGTCTTAATCCTTACTTCTACTTTGAGGGTAATCTGAAATCACACACTTGTCCAAAAAGGGCAGCATCTTTAGAAATAAATGCAACAAACTTTCACAGTCATTCACAAACACAGTAGTAACTTTGGAAACTCCCTATTCCTGCTTGAGAACTTAATTCATATAAAGATTTTAATTCTCACAGGAAACAACAAAAAACCTAATTAGCAAGGCATGTTCTAAATAAAAAACTTGAATAAACCAGATGGTGGCACACCTTTAATCCCAGCACTCAGGAGGCAGAGGCAGGTGGATCTCTGAGTTTGATGTCAGCCTGGTCTACAAAGTGAGTTCCAGGACAGCCAGGACTACACAGAAACCCTGTCTAGAAAAAAAAAAAACAAAAAACAAAAAACAAAAAAAAAAAAAACCAAACAAAATAAAACGTGGATACAATAATGCATTTCAAAATACCATAGGCAAAAAGATACACATAAATAATCTATTTTCTACAGTATTCAGTAGAAAAGGAATAAATGAATAAGCATCACAGACTCACCTGGCCATCAAAATTTAGATCATAGAGACGAATATTAGGCCTTAACTGTACTGTTAAAAGGCAAGCAAGTCCCCACCCCACAGCAGCACACATTGTTTCTATGAGTTAGAGATTTGTGCCAAGCACAGCACATGTATTATCTTAATTATTGAGGAGTTCTGACTGTTTATTTTCCACTGTGACCTCTAAATCTCTTCCCAGCGACAGGACCCACTATGTTGCAAGTAAGGCACATATATAATCAATTTAATGAGATTAGGGACTACAGTAGCTTTCTCTCAGAAGGCACTGGGGAAAGAAGAGGAAAGAAAGTCTTTTTTACCCATCCACAGCTCCTGCTGAGACCAAGGTGCTCTCATCCTGAAACAGGACCACAGTAACACTCTGCTGGGAATCCTAATAGCACAAGCAAGAAAAAGAAGGGATTCTGTTTTGGTCATCACAGCCTTCACCAGTAAGAGAACAAGCTTTTCTGAAGCAGCTGTCAAATTGTGTCTTCTAGAAATGTCAGCAAGATTCACTGATGATACCTTACCAATATGGCTGCCTAAACAAGACCCAAAGGACAATACTTATGCATGCTAACACAGAAGGGGGAAATCTCACAGAGCCCCATACACAAACAAGGAACTACAGGCAATTAAGCAATACTGAGAGCAGGAGAGAGCAGTCTCTCTCCTATGGAGGACTCCTTTTGCAGTTATTCAATACCATGTAGTCAGCCCTGAAATCATATACATAATTAACCAAACTGAACAGGTTATATTTATATATTTAGGCATGTATGTATGTGTATGTATGCAACAATAACAAAAACAAAGGAGCCATGATCTGAGAGAGATCAGGGACGGGTAAAGGGAAGGTGAAAGAGGACGCCATATTTTAATAATAATGACATCTGCTGCCAAGCCTGAAGAACTGAGTTCCATACTCAGAACCCACATGGCACGAGAGAACTAGTTAAAAAAAAGTTCCTCTCATCTGTCCATGCATGCCATTTGTTACACGTGCAGGAAAGGGGCACTAACCTCACAAGGTCTCCTGAAGTCCAATGAAAGACGAAGCCTTTAGCTACAATAGTTTGACAGTTATACTTCTCCATAAATATTCACTCAAACCTTACATACCAGGAATATCAGAAGATTCCATTAATGAAATCAACAGCTACTTTCTTTTCTAGAAAAAAAAATGTACTATGGGCATGGCTTGAGCTTCTCTCTACTTCATACATGGCAGCCTGTAAGATGGTCATATTTGCCAGTGTGCCTGAACATCTAAAACACAAGGCCAGGCTGCTGAAGGGATGGGGGAGGTATCTTATATGTTCAACTTGACTTCCTATCTGCCTGTAGCTACTCTCAATGCTCTAAGAAGCATCCACTCACTCTCCACAAGCATGGCAGTTCTCCAACCCCAGTACCACCAGCTACTGAGTCAGTCACCTTTACTAGGTGACAACCAGGGAACTGGGAAAACCCAGGTATCCGAGAGTAAACAGCAGAGTTGCTGGCCATCCTCAAAATGTTCAAGAGAGCAGACTTACACACTCTGCAGGGAGCAAGAGTGCCAGAAGAGATTAAATAGGGCATCATGAATACCAGAAGACTGGTTTTGAGGGGTGTGGCTGAAACAGCACAGTGTTAGTTGTATAGCTCCTCTCTCCTGTTGAGATGAAATGTTTTCATAGTGTGACAGCTCATTCATTCACTTCCCTCTGGTTTATTAAGCTCTAAACCTATAGTTTTCAAGATAGGGAAGAGATCTTGCAGTTAATTAAGATGTTCATTTTAATTAGTTAGCAATGCCCTAGTATTTGTTAATTTGGTTTTTTGAGGCAGGGTTTCTCTGTGTATCAGCCCTGGCTGTCCTGGATCTCTCTCTCTGTAGACCAGGATGACCTTGAACTCACAGAGATCTGCCTGCCTCTGTATCCTGAGTACTGGGACTAAAGGCATGCACCACCACTGCCCAGCTTGTTTTAGAGCAGTGGTTCCCAAACTTCCTAATGTTGTTACCCTTTAATACAGTTTCTCATGCTGTGGTGACTCCCCCACCATAAAATTATTTTTTGTTGCTACTTCCATAACTGTACTGGATGAATGCTATGTCACTAAGTATTACTAGTATATACTAGTACATGTATCTAGTATTCCAGGCCAGCCTAAGCATAGGTGAGCTTGTCTCAAAAACAAGCAAACACAACAACAAAACCCTATTCATACATAAACTTCTCTAAAATCTTACCACAGATGGAGCAAGTCCTTTTGAATTTTGTTTCTTCTTGGGTTTTGAAGGGGTCTGCTTGTCTACAGTGTTGTGAGCGCCACTGATCTGATTCACTTGTCTATAAAATCCATCTGAAAGGTCCAAGGAAACTGGTTTTAGTGTTTTCTGATTTCAAGCTCAACATAACATTTGAACATTTTTATACAGGACCTCAATTATGTAATTTTTGACTAACTAATACAATATAAATTAGTTACTTAAACCATGAAGAGTTAAAAAAAAAAAAAAAACAGCAGTAGTAAGGCTTAGTGAGGAAGTAGATATAACACTGGAGCATACCCAGTTTAGGGCAACGAGCTATTCTATGTATTATATTGGCAGACACATATTTACTGGTCAATATCCATATCATGTGTAACACGAAGAATAAACACTAATGCAAATTATGGATGGGGTGATCATGTGTCAACGACGTTACCAGCTGAAAAATCTGCAACCATGTGAATGCAGGTTGCTGATGGGGGAAGACTGTGTATGTGTAGGTGCTGAACACACATGCAACTCTCTGCACTTCAATGTTGCTATGAAACTAAAACTACTCCAAAAATAGTATATTAATATTTAGAACCAATATATAAATTAGCAGTAAACACATCAATGACCACCTGCTTTAACATCACCATGGTGCAATCTAAGCTTATATTTAGTTTAATGAGATTCTTTTTTTTTTTTAAAGTGAGGGGAGCAGAATATAGCCCATGGTGTCAGAGGACAAACTTGAGGAAATTTGTTCTCTCCTTCTACCATGTGGGAACTGAACTCAGGTAGTCAGGCTTTGATGGCAAGCACCTTTATTTGATGAGGTGTCTTGCTGGCCCAAAAAAAGGAAAATTAAAAACAAAATACCTAGTGGGTGGTGGTGGTGCACACCTTTAATCCCAGCACTTGGGAGGCAGAGGCAGGAGGATCTCTGTGAGTATGAGTCCAGCCTGGTCTACAAAAACACACACACAGGAGGTGTGTGTGTGTGCACTCAAAAATTTTCTCCAGTGAATCTATGCATTAGTCGTTTCAATTCTACCAATAATTTAGGTAAATGGAATTATAATTCTGAAGACAATGAGATTAAAATGTAAATTAAAGCTTTGTTAATAATCATTACTTTGAGAATTGAGCAATGAGCAGAAATTTAAGACTGAACACAAGTGCCCCCTGCTGGTACCAGATGAAATCACTAACATTTTCATTCTATTTTGAGTATGGTAATTATGTCACTAAGCATGGGGGGGATACATTCATCAAGATTAAGAGAAAACTAGCTTGCCTTTTTTGTTGCACCTGGTATCCCAGATCATAATGTTGCCATCTCTCCCACCTGTACAGAACACAGCTGTGGGAAAAAAGAGTGCATCAAGATGTTGGCAAAACTAGTAAAAGATAAAGATATATTTCCATTTAAATTTCCCAGAGGATACATTCTCCAAAAGTACTGAATTTGGCTCTAGAAATCTAGTAAAATGTTAACCAAACAACTGTTAACACAGAGGAGCTTACTACCATAACTAATATAAACTACTCTATAAGCTTTTCACACATTATCTCAATTTTTCCTGTCAGTGTAGAAGGTAGGCTTCCTGCGTTACAGATGAGAAATGGGCAGAGCAAAGATAAGTAACTCCTAAAAGTATTCTTAGTAGAATGGACTTAGAGAATGGACTCCAATGTGGCAAATTGTATTGTTTGAGCACAAAACTATCCAGTCTCGTGCAATTTGTAAAACGACTGTCTCTGGACATGGAAGGGGACACTGGGGTTGAACACAACACAGACCTTGCATGCATATATATATATATGCATATAATATATATATATATATATATATATATAGTAAAAGTGAAAGCTAGGTCCACGGCTTCAGTGGTATAACATTCACTCAGTTTACACAAGCCCTAGGCTCACTGCAAAATGTGCCCATAAATAAACAAATTTTAAAATCTGCTTAAAAAAAATCTATTTATTTATTATGTGCACAGTGTTCTGCCTGCATGCCAGAAGAGGGCATCATTGCAGATGGTTGTGAGCCACCATGTGGTTGTTGAGAATTGAACTCAGGACCTCTGGAAGAGCAGTCTCTGAGCCATCTCTCCAGCCCCCAAAAATTCTGCTTTTTATATGGAGGAGTAAGCATTTAACAAAGGGACACAACTATAATAGCTATAAATTGAACAAAGTACCAATCAAGTACTTGAGTGAGAGCTTTGTGGATACTGAACAAAACCACTTCATTTTGTAGTGACTAGGCCACAGCAAATGAAGCAAAAGGTAACTAAAGCCAATAGAGAACCGTGCCAACCTTCAGAGGTGGAGAAACCAGGGAAGAGACTGGAAGGGGAGAGGGGCTCCATCACAAGAGCTACCAGAGTAGGAGAGCTAGAGAGTGAACCTTTACTTCCGTCTTCAAACTCAGCCTCATCTCTGATGGAGACACTGCCCTCCTGAGTAAACTCAACACTTGAGCAGTTTAAACAAGCAGATCTTATGGCATGCAACGCAGTGGCAAGTTCACCCCTCGTGCGCCAGCCAAGTAAACGTAGTGCTCAGGCCTCATCAAAGCAGCTTCTTTTTGCAGCAGATGGAAACCATTTACAGAGACCCACAGCTTTCAAAATGCAGGTAAGTGACTGTTGTGTGCCCACCCTCAATTGGCACATGGATGACATCACCCTGTGCAAGTCTCATCCACACTGCAGGAGCTGGAGGGTGAAAGATTCTAAGGATAGGAAAAGCACAGCACCTGCTTTGAGATTAACAGGATGAGGACTGACTAATTAAGGCACACATAATGGCAATACCAGCCAATAAGCCAGCACAGATAGAGGAAATTTTACAAGGCTTCAACCTTAGATGAAGACTACAAGAAAATCAATGGTTGTAGAGAGAGGGAAATCAATTTCCTCAAAGGACCAGCCCCTGATAAGTTTCTAATCCTCAGGGGTCGGCCTTAAGTACATGCACATACAAGCAACACTAAATGGACAGAGCAGGTTGTATGTACATACTGTCAGGTCGAAAGGAAACTTTGGACACATGGGGACATTAGGCTACCTGTGGTATCTATTTGCACACTAAAGCCCAGGCTGGCCTCCAGGCTCCCTCAGTGTCATCTGTACCTCTCAGATATTTCAAAGTCCATGCTGGCCTCCCTGCTCTGCTTACCTCCTCCTCCACCCTTTACATATATGTAAAGCTTTTTTAGGAGACACAGAAATTTACAGTTAATTATCTACCAGAAATTCTAATGCTATCTCCTTTCTGGCCAAACAAAACATACATGTGTCTAATTTACCAATCTTTAGAAGGGAGCCATTCAGGGGAGACAAATTTCATTAGTGTTACCTATTAGTGTTACCAATTAGGATCACTTGTATCCTGTTCACACAGAGGCGAATGACTGGACCAAAGATGTTTTCTACCATGCTACTATAAAACTAAACAAAAATCCATAAAAAAAAAAAAACAAAAACTGCACTAAGCATTTATAATCTCCAGGTTTTAAAAGGTAAGTTCATACCTCACCTTTTTTTTTTTATACTCAGTTATTTTCACGAATTAAATGGTGTTGGGCACTAATCCAACTGAATTAAGAAATGAAGACCTAAGGAGATCAAAATGGCATTGCAAAGTCAAAATAAAATGTAAAGTTGGCTATAAGTCATTCTATGCATGGCTGAGGGGGAGGCAGGATGAAACCTCATCTGTTTCACAGACCAAACAATGAGACCAGTTTCCAACTAGGCTAACTCATCCACTACTAGCAGCCAAGATAGAAGTCCATTAGCTCCATGTCCAACCTAGTGGCTTTCCTTTTACACGAGGCTGGCATAAACTTATCCACATGTATACTTTTAAAAATTAAGCAAAGGCAATCAAAGTGTTTCCCTTTCCAATACTACTTAATTAGGTAAATTTTCATGATTATAAATTATTCCTATAAACTCAATAGCTCGAGTTAATATTCCTGAGTATTTGTGTGAATAAACGAACACAATCCTTCTAAAAACAGGGTATTTTGCCTAGAGCAATAGCACATGCCTTTAATCCCAGCAAGTGGGAGGTAGAAGCAGATGAATGTCAGGGAGTATCAGGCCAGCCTGCTTTAATACAGTGAGGTCTACAGAGCTACAGTGTGAGACCCTATCTCTGAAAACTCAAATAGCTATAATAACGCTACCTCAATCACCTTCAAAGTCGGCCACAGAAAAACCAGAACTGCCTTAGGACCTTTAACTTCCTTCCCAGGACAAGCTGGAGATGATGACCTAGGAAAGGGCACAGGGGGCTGGAGGGATGGCTCGGAAGTTAAGAGTATTGCTTTTCCAGAGGACCCTCAAGGCAGCTCACAACCTTAACTCTAGTCCCAGGGGGAATCCAATGCCCTCTTCTGGCCTTGGCAGGCATAGCACACATGCAGTGCACAGACACACATGCAGGCAAAACACCCATACACATCAAAAAAAATTTTAATGGGCCATAACCAACCAAACTTCACTTAAACTAAAATCTCCACTACCACTTCAATAGGGCAAAGACAGAAACAATCAGGGCAGAGATGAAACGATGAACACCAACCTACCTTTTTGAAACTTGGAAAAAGCTACAGACTTGAGGCTGCATTGATGGCCTTTACAAGTTCCCATCAACTCACCAGCTTTTACATCCCAAAATTTGGCCGTTTGATCACCTGCTGCTGTAACCTTCCAAAAATAATATAGTTAAATTTAAGAAAGAAACCTTTTCTCTGCATCTATTCAGGCCTAATAAAAGTCACTTACCAGTTTAAGTTCACCAGGGACCCAGGCCAGGTCAAAGACAGCATTCCAGTGAGCCATCCACTCTAAACAAAGAAACATAAATGTGACATATTCAGATATGTTCTATGACAGTCATACCAGCACAAGTTTAAACACCTTGAAGTTTTAATTATAAAAAGGTGGCTAGCACTCTACTGTCAACAGGCCAAAGAGCATTATGGAGTCAAAGACACCGCACATCCCCACGACACAGGTGAGAGCCACCATCCAAAGCCCACTGAGGGCTGGGAGACGCTTAGTGGGTATAGTACTTGCTGCACAAGCAGGAGGACCTGACATCAGACCCAACACCCACCAAAACATTGGTGCTTATAAAACACCAGGTGTAAGGAAATTAATGAGATCTTGTTTTAAAAGGTAAGTAAGGCAGGGCATGATACAGGAAACACATAACGCCAACCTCTGGCCTTCACATGCATGTACACATACATGCACACGCATCCACTCAAAGCCCCCTTCCTGAGATAAATCAATAAAACTTTCTCTAAAATAGAATCTACTTGAAACATTCTCTAGGTCTAAAGCCTTCAAGTCCTAACAAGGAAATAGCTTTAGTCCTGCATACTTTGACTTTAGCATTTCTGTGGAGGAGCTTGTTGCGCACTGTCCTTATTATGTGTCTTATTCAAGCTGAATCACCATCTTAACACTGTGTCCTATGCTCACTACATCTGTATTAAAATAGAAATCTACCACAGGCTTTATGAATTAAAAATGTCACAAAGTATAGACTCACCCTTGAAGCATGTCTTTCTGCTGGTTTGTGATTCTGTGTTATACAATCTGACGAAGCCTTCTTCATTGGCAACTGCTAATATATGCTCCATAGTGGGAGCTGGATACAAACACAGAACATACAAGAGTTTCTAATGAGCACAAAGGTAGTAAATGACTGAAAACAGGGCTGGAGAGTTGGCTCAGTGGTCAAGAGCATTTGCTGCTCTTACAGAAAACTGGGGTTTGATCCCCACACCCACATGGCAGGTCACAATTGTCTGTACCTCCAGTTCACAGGGATCTAAGGCTTCTTCTGGCTTCTGTGGTACATACATACACACAAGCAAAACACCTATACACATAAAGGCCCCAAACCATCAAAACTGTCTTCAGTCACTCTGACTCATCTGACTCGAGAAAGGTTGAATCAAGAGTTGTACTGGCCAATGGCAAAGAAAAGCAAGACACAGACCAGCAGCTGATCTAGCCTGTTGGTTCCAAGCTTCCCCTTTATAACATCTCCTCTATTTCTGTTCACATTTTTAAAATGACTGCTAAAAAAATAAGACAAAACAAAACCCCTAATTTTAAAAACATCAACCTTATAACTCACAGGAGAACAATTAGAATAATTTTAACATCAACCTAGGTTACTTTTCTTTCAAAGTGTATTTTCCCTCTAAGTAGGAAATAAAGTTCTGTTCAAGCTTAGTGTAGTCATTCTCTTACCTGTACAGAAAGTGCATCCAAAAGGAGGAACAGGGACTCCTGTTTCTCCGTAAGATGTGTGCTCATCATTACAGTTGCACTGATAACCACTGAGAAGGGACTGCAGAGGATAATGTGAAGACCATCCTAAAACAAGACAATTAATTCCTTTGAGAATTAAAGTGTCAACGTTTTGCCATTTCCCACAAATATGGAGAAAAGTATCTTTTTTTGTTGCTTGTCTTTTGAGGCATGGAAGTTGCAATAATCCTGTTTCTGCCTCCCAAGTGATGGGGATAATCCGTGAGAGCTACCATACCTGGAAATATTTGTTCATACAGAATTCTACATATTTAACTATCTATATATAGCTCTCCAGAATACCATTTCTGGTATCTTCCTAAGCTGTTTTTAGGAGGAAATCAAAGCACACTCTCAACATCTGTGTAGGCCACTGGAATACATAGATTTGGTTTTTTTGATACAGAGTCTCACTATAGAGCTCTGGCTGTCATCGAACTCATTATGTAGCCCAGGTTGGCCTTGAACTCCCAGAGATCCACCTGCCTCTAACTCCCAAGTGCCGGGATTAAAGGCATGTGCCACCATACCCAGCTTGGGTTTTACCATCTTAAATGTAGAAAACTAGTATATTATGATTAGCACCTTGTACATTAAAGAGAGTAAGACCAGGGAGACTTGAGATCGACTTAAAAGTAAATTTTCATTTAATCAGAAATAAAGCAAGTTCCTAATGCACATGGGTACATGGTCCTAAACAGTAAATCATCACCCACAATTTGGTTTATATTAACATGTACATTGGCTCATTTTAAATATACAAAGGTTGAATATTCTTTGTCTTCTGTTCCGGGACTAGTTTACTAATGTTTTAAACTTTCTTTTTATTCATTCACATCACACATCTCGATTCCATTTATCTCCCTGTGCACCCTTCCTTTGCCCCTGCAATGCGCCCTCCCCCATAAAACAAAATCTAAGAGAAAAAAGGAAAAACTTCCTGGATGTCCTGCTGTTGCCCTGTGTTGTGGAGATCCTGCAGCTTTGGGTCTGCAGATCAGGTCCCTTCACGTGCTCCAGCAGCTCATAGATTCAGTGGATGTTGGTGCTGGCCAAGTCATAACCCTGGTGGGTCTGGGCCTGGGCAGCTGCCCACTAGTTCTCCCCTCTCCTCACCACCAGCATTGCCCTAATTCACCCCAGCAGCAATCAGAGAGGGGTGGGGCCAGCTCTCCTGCTTTCAGTGCTGTTGAGATTAAAGGCACGCCCACCACTCCACATTATTTTACATTAACATGCTCAACCTCAATAAGAAACATTCATCAACAAGTAATTTATGACTAAGGATCTGATGAAGCAATGAGCAGACACGTTGAGAGCACTGCAAATGTTAAACTCACATCTTAGGGCACTGCCAATTCTTACATTTTTGTTTATTTAAAAATTTTTGTAAACCTTGAGACTTTCAAGGTCTAAGAAGGGGACACAAGAATGCTTCCTTCTGCATGCAGAGTGAAGTAATAGAGGTGATGAGAAAGTGTTCCGCACCAAATCTCGTTACAGATGGTTTGAGCCACCATGTGGTTGCTGGGAATTGAACTCAGGGCCTTTGGAAGAGCAGGCAGTGCTCTAAACCGCTGTGCCATCTCTGAGAAAACGAACTTAAACTAGATTTAGTAAAACTACTCATGGGGACACTGCTCCATAATGTCAGTATCAAATACCATAGTAAATGGTATTTGTAGCTCTGTGAAAGACGGCTAAAAGGATGTTATGTTCATAACACCTAAGAGTACATTGGAAAATGGCGACATCTAAAGAAATGTAAATGAACACGCATGTGTGTTGTGGGATTTTAAACGCTTAGTGGCTACAACACACAAATTCAAAGGGGAATCAAAAAAGTAAAACTGAAGATACAATACGCTCTGGAAAATTTCACAATTAAGCTAATTCCTCAATTCTGTCTGCATCTTCACCTGTAGCTAATATTCAAACTGATAAAGGGTTTAAAGAGACTTATTGAGCATACTCCATATTTCTGCAGCTCCCCACAGCACACTTTTAGATTTTTACTGTGCTACAAATAAGAACCTGTAGTATTTCCCAGCCCCCCCCAACACTCACTCATCTAGAAAAGTCCATTCTCTCCTCAGTAGAAAGCTAACAGCCATACTCACAAGAAATACAGCTTGCTTGCTTGTTTTCAGAGGATCAACACCTTGACATTCTACAACTTCCACACAGTATTATTAACAAAGCTGCTGTCTAAGAGGGCTGAGGGGTTCTCTTTCCTATCACCTTCCACACTTCCTTTTTTCTACTTTGATAAAAGGAAGTCATTCTCACATCCCTATCTTACACCTTGTATTGTTGAAAGATAAAGTTGTCCGTGTCCATCACATACTTTAAATAAAAATTAAAAATTAGTGGCCTTAATTGAGACAGCCAAGATCATAAGGCACCAGATACTTAAATCCATTTCTTTAAAAGATGCACTTTTCAATAAAATTTTGATTTTTGCCTAAAGCATTATAAAATACCATTTAGCTTCTAACAACTGCCCACTATTCATATCTATGGTGATAATTCATCCCAAGGGAAACTTTCAGGAATCACAGCATTAAAACCACAGAATACATCACTTTACACTTTTTTTTATGTGGGCATGATGACAGGGTGGTAAGAAATTTTCAACGATACATTAAATTACAATAGGATAAATTTGGGGGGAAAATAAGATAGAAATAAAGTTAGAAGAAAATGCAACCATGTCGTTAAAGATCTGCTCACATTTAATAGAGACCACAACTTCCAAGTTGCTATAGTGTTTGTAGTGTCAGATGTAGTTAAAGGTTAGGAGCATTTTAAACCCACAAGAGTAATCCTATTTCCAAAGCATATTTTGGATGCTTGTTATAATCCCGAGCGTAAAGCATCAGGGTCCAGTCCAGGGCAGTGGAATGGTGAAAAGGCAACAGACTCAGCAGGTGGGGATGAAACAGAGGTGGGTGCAAGCAAGCTTAAGGGAACTCTCTGAACATGCAATAAGAGAAAATGAGTCTTTGAGTGACTCTCAAGGCTTTGGCTAGGGATACCAGTTTGAAATAATACCACTGCCCAAAGAGAATAACCGGTTTTGGAGAAAAGCCAACTCAGTTTGGGGGATTAGAATTTTAGATGCTTGGATGCCTGACTGGATGAAGACCAACCCACAAAGCTTTTACAGAAGCTAATCTAAAACACAGGGAATGGAAGAGTGTAGGGTCTTCAGTTTTGGCTATAATCACTCAAGGGGGTAGGCTGCAACACTGCAGGGGAACCGAGACACACTCATTTCAGGAGGTTAACAACAAATGAATTCCAGTGCCTAGGACTGAACGAGTATGTGCAAACAGAAGCGAGGCTGAAAAGTGGACAGACAGACAAAATGTCAAACACAGCCTGCCTTGGTCACATACAAAGGAGGTGGAATCCAAACTCGGGCGCTCTAAAGAGGGCTCACAACTATTGTCTAGGGCGGCCATTCCCGACACGGGAAGAATGTACTCGTGTAAAGTTCTTCTAGGAAGAAAGAAAGAGGCACAGTGTCAACTACAAGTGTCCAAGGAACAAGCAGGAGCGCAACGTTTTCAGATGGGGAGCAGGGCCTACTCAAGGTTCGGCTTAAGGACACAGACACCCAGTGTCGTCCCTGCCGGCGGGTGTTCGGTGCGGCCTGCTGACTTTCTTCCATACGCTGAGAGGGGAATATGGCCGAATTCCACCGCCAAGTGAAGAAGAAGAAGAAACAAAAACACCAACCCCGTTTCTGCATATGCATGCCTCGGGCGTCAAAACACACATCTGCAACACCCCACACCCTCCGGTCCGCCGATCGCCCGAGGCCACCGCGTGGGTGTGGCCAGGGGCGTCTTTCGGTCGGCACTCGACAAC